CTTACTTTTTTCTTATATATATAATTGTGCATCCAATATAATTTGTATCTTATTGGTGGAATTTTTTAAGGTTTTTTTTTTTACAACTTTACTTCTATATATCAAACTTCATAGTTCAACTTTGATATAAGACCTTCATTTCAGTTAACAAATTTAAGTTTCCTACGCTACACAGGGCATCTGCTGGATGGTCAATTAATTTAGGCACACCTCTCATTTACTTTCCCGTCAATTGCTGTAAGCTAATTAGATTGTCAAGTATGAAAATTTGACGCTACGCTGGCTAGTGGAGGAGCTGCCGAATCTCAGCTGGTAGCACATTTTGCAAATGTCCTTTTTAGCCATTGTTTGAGGACATTTTTGTGCGCGCTTTGCCAACCAGCAGTAATACAGATTTTCGCGCAGCCAATTTGACTAAAAACACGACCAACTGGAGAGTACGGGGCAAAGGTCTATCATGGAATGTTACTTGCTGGGCGTGGGCGTGGGCGTGGCTGGCAGAAAAGCCACTTAAACCCGCCACCGAATGCGACTAAAATGCGTGCAAATGCGCTGGCCCCGTCGATGCATACAATTCAAATTACGAGCATAATGAAATACTTTATTTCACATACAATTTCAGTTTAAATTTAAATACCCTGCACAGTGCAGCCAACTGGGATATTAGCTGCAGGCATAGCCAAAGTGCTGTCGATTGACTTGATAAGGAATTTTATTTTATTCAGTGCAAAATATTTATAATTTTTTAAAAATCTCTCTTTATTTATATACAGCTATATGAACAGCTTAAATGATTATACTCATTCACAAAAGTGAAAAGAGTATATTAGTTTACTTTAAATTTGGAATTTGAATGAATTTCACTTCGGTTTCAGCTTTGGATCCAGATGTTGACTCTTTACACCAACTTCCTTTCCTATATTTAATGAAAATTTATTGAACCATTTACACTTTGGAATTCTGGAGCCTTTGAAAGATATTGAACATATAGACAAAGTCTTATAGGTGAGTTCAGCTTAAGAAAAAATGTATTCTGCTCCTCAACTTCTTCTCTGTTTCGCTCTTAACTCCTCACTCATATTCTGAGCCTTCTAACTCCATAGGCTTTATAGCTGAGAAAAATGTCAGCTGCTTGTCTAACTCTTCTATTGATATCTCTCTATGATGTTCACTCTCTTTCTGTCTCTCTCTCTCTCACTCTGTTTACAGGGTATCTACATACTATTACTCTCTATAAACATATTTCTGCTGTTGCTATTGCTGCCGCTGCTGTTGTACAAGCATTGCGACTTCGTATGGCAAAATGGCAGTTTACGCTTCTTTGGCATTTTGTGGCAATGCAAACACGCCCCCACGGGTGCGCCCAAACAGCAGCCTGCAGCTAACCACTACCCATTACCCATTACCCATTACCCATTGCGCATTGCCCATTACCTTAGCCAGTTGCAGCTTCACCTGCCCAGGCATCGAGTGGCATACTCGAGCATGTCTTTACATCTTTTTACGCTTGGCTATAGCTCAAAGTGCTTAACTGGCTAAAGCGATGGGGCGGGAGGAGCAGTAGCAGTGGGAGGCAGGTGGGACTGTGGCCTGGGAGGGGCAGACAGCATAAGTTGGCTACAAAATGGCAGCAACCACCAAGACCCCTACCCCCCTAAAGCATATGGCATGGAATTGTACAGTGAGTATATATGTACATATTTATATATGTATATATATATATCTGTATAGCTGCATATGGTATATAGGTTGATGATAAATGCTGAAAATTCAATTATGCTGGATGTATGTTGAGGCGATAAGGGCTCGTTTCTAAAGAAGGTCTGACATGGTCAGATAGCTGGATGAACGGGGGAGCCCACATTGTATGCATGATCTCGAGTATCTTTGTTTGTATTTTTAAACATTTATCTGGCTGGCAACAGCAACAACAACAATAGCAACAACAACAGTAACAACAATAATAAGAACGACAACAATTGAACTTAGTTCTGTTTGCTCAGCACAACAGCAATTGATCAAATGCTTTAGACTAGGGCTGGTCGTGACTCGTGTTTTCTTTGCGTGACACGAGTCAGAAATTCTTATCGAAATGTTATAGAGCTTATATATGAGTTTATTTACAAATAAAAAAGTCAGTTTGTAGTCAAGACATAACTAACGCACTCAACGTATATAACTCATTTTCTAAGTTTAGGTAAGGGCAGCCAAATGAATAATATTTATTTAGAATTTTTATTGTAATACAAATGCGCGCTGCGTGCTAAAGTGGTCAAATCCTGCTGCATTTACTCCGACATTGCAGGCGAGGATGCAACGAGAAACTGGGAGGAACCTAGTATAAACCTGGGAACAGCCTGGGAGAAGTCTGGGATGAGCCTGGGAGTAAACTGGAAGGAACCTGGGATCCTTAGAGGAGCCTGAGAGGAACCTAAGAGGAAAACCTCGATCTATATATACATGTCTTGCTGTTGGTACAAAGCAGCAGTAAACCCTATATCCAATAGTCTGAAATATTCTCTAGAATTGTGCAACACGCGCTCATCGCTAGTTTGGCGTCGCCCTTTGTGTTCTTCACTGAGCTGATCTTGCCTTGGGATCTGTATCTGTTCGCTGTGGCCGTGGATTGTCTGAAAATCGATCTGCAAACATGGCAAGCGCCAAAATACGCAAAAGTCACGTAGTCAGCAAATGGCCACAGACAAGAAAGAGGGCTCCCATAAACCATCTGGGCTGGCAATATAGACAACGCTAATGAGTCCGCGCGATTTATGCAAATATCGGTACAACTGATTCGCAGTCGAACTGAGCTGAACCCGTAATGAGGCCAGATGCAAAAGAAGAAGAAGAAAAAAAAAAAGTAATAATAATAATAAGTAAACAAAAACAGTAGTAGCAAATAGAAACATGGTAGTCGTAGCTGCTGGGTGTTCACTGTACCTGGATGTAGTCCAGTGAGCAATTAAAGTGTCACAAGTTCGGGACATGCAATATTTCATGACGCAATGCCCAAGATTATGAATATAAATGCAAATTAGGCACAGCTCGAGTGGGCGCTTGAGCCGGCATTCGCCTGTCTCTTCTGGTGCGGGAGAGAGGGGCACAGAGTGTGCGAGAGCGTGGGGTTGGGGTGGGCGTGGATGTAGGGAGCGTGACAATCATTAAAAGTCAAGTGAACGTAGTGGCTCCTTCGTCGCTTGAACAATCACTGAAAATGAAAATGACTAACGGTAACCACGATAGTCGACATCCGGGGCAAACGGTTCCATTCGGTGGCCAGCAGGTGCCCCCACGGTGGCTAACGGTGGTGGCACTCGCAGCGGCACTGGCTGCCGCTGAAAGAAAATTACGCTCTTATCTTGCTTCCTGTCGTGACACAATTTTCTATCATAGCCAACTGAAGGACTTGTTGTTGTTGTTGTTGTTGCTGCTGTTGTTGGAGTCGCCGGATCCGTGTGTTGTGGCCAAAGACATAAAGTTATTATTGCTTTTGCTGCTGGCCAAGAGTGCACGGATTCCGGCCAGCCATGATAAATGTGTCCAGCGCACGTTTTGGCCAACGTCATAATTTAGTCCACATTACATCATATATATATATATATGTATGT